CAATTTTATTTTTTCCTCCTGCGAATGATTTGTTCCTATTTAAATTAATTCAAACTCATTTGATTTCCTCATAAAACCTGCGCAGAATTTCAAAAATATATTGTTTTTGCACATCATTTAACTATTTTTTTTTTCTTCCATGTTTTTTTTTTTCATTTTAAGTTTTGATTAATTCTGTTTTAGTTGAGTTTTGCTCTAAAATTGTTATTATAACTATTTTCATTTATTTTTGTCGACATGACCTTGTCTGCGTACACAAGTGTCAAAACATGCATTTGTATCTAATCTGTAAAATATGCATATTTTTCAATGTGCATTATGTATTTTATATTCTTCTTGTTAAGCTATTACATTATTAATTTTTTTACGACTTATTAATCTATAAATGTCTTGTTATTTGAATCTGTAATTATTTTTAACAGCAATATTAGAATGTGCGATTTATTACAAAGCTCATAATTTTAAATTCTTTTCAGAGATAGGGGAAAAGAAATGCGAAAGTTTCTGAAGTTAAAAAATAGAAACTTTTAAAATGTTTATAATTTATTTCAGATTCATGCTTTTAATAATAAATTTAAGACTTCACTGTTGTCTTGAATTCGTTATTTAGTTGCATGTGATTACGAGACATTTTGGGAAAATGTTTCCGTCGAATATATAAAATATTAACTACGAAAATATTCCTTCCAAAATGTCTCTCTTTTTTAATATTTTTTTCCCTTTTTGGTAGCAAATAACCACCTAAGTAATTTATTTATTTTTCACATGAGCAATGCCACCGTTACAATTTTCCTTTACCCGAATACTTTAACGAAATTACTCTTTCAAAAAAGGACTAAAACCCAGGCATGCAACTCAATTTCACACACTCTGTTTACTTCTAAAATAAATTTTTTCCCCGGGTAAGAAATGAAAGTAAAAGCTAAAATGTATTAAACAAAACTTCTTTACATGAAATGAAAACATCGAAAAGTGCAAAACTCTTTCCTGGAATTAATAAAGCAAGATTTATTTTCTAACTGTACCCACCGCGTTTTGTGGTTTTTTAATCTTTTATATGGCCGAGCTTCAAGCAATTTTTGGCAACATAAACCAAAGCGTGTAAAATAAAAGTATTTTTAAGCCTCTTTCTTATTGAGAAAAAGTTTTGTTTATTGAATATGTTTTGCTATTTCTCATTTTAAATGTTTTGGTTATAAATCCGGATTTCTTGTTGAAGTATTATGACTTGCGGCAATTGTACTGGGCTCTTTTTTTTTTTCCTTCTTTCCAACTCCATCAATAACACCCCGTATTTCCCTGAGGTCATAAAAATACAATATCTGGATGATTTTTTTTCTTTTGAAAAATCTTGCCCAAATTTTTATGTTTTCGTTCGATGGCTAAGAAATATGTTTTTTCATTCCTCGTCATTTCTTAAAATGTTATGGTGCATGGAATATTATTGCTGTTTGAATGAAAGAGATGCGAACAAAATTGGAGAATTANTTAGATATAGATAGATTAGATATAGATAGATTAGATATAGATAGATTAGATATAGATAGATTAGATATAGATAGATTAGATATAGATAGATTAGATATAGATAGATTAGATATAGATAGATTAGATATAGATAGATTAGATATAGATAGATTAGATATAGATAGATTAGATATAGATAGATTAGATATAGATAGATTAGATATAGATAGATTAGATATAGATAGATTAGATATAGATAGATTAGATATATATAGATAGATATAGATAGATATAGATATAGATATAGATAGATATAGATATAGATATAGATATCTATATAGATATAGATATAGATATAGATATAGATATAGATATAGATATAGATATAGATGGATAGATGAGCATTTTAGTGACGTTCCTAAAATTCGCATCATAAATGTCACCGAAAAATTTTCGTTCAAAATATTTTTTTTTATTTAGTTATTTTTTTTTTTTTACAACTTAAAAGTAGTTTTACGATAAAAACAAGAAAAGTGTCACGTTTGTTTACTTATGTATTAATTTATTCACTCATATTATCGAATTATTAAATAAATACATATCAAATAATGCATTTTAAAAAAAAACCTAAAACACTAATTATAAATTTCGATTTTTTTTAATAACATTTTGTATTACATTCTCATATTTTCGCATGTTCAGGCTTGTTTTAAAAAAGGGGGAAAAAACAGGTTTTATTTCAATAAATTTTCCTGTTTATTTTACGACATTTTATTATAAAGTGCTAATTAATGCCAAAAAATTTCCACAGGGTTTATTAATCATTTTATATAATTTGAGAAAAACATCTTATAAGTCGAAATTTCTGTTATTTGTTATACGGCCTTTTTAATTAAGGGATAGTTGTAAGTTTACGAGGCTTTTCGTACTCGTACAATTGAATATAGATTTCTTGACAAAAATAAAATCTTTCATTATCTATACAACTAATTACTATGATAAAAAAGAAAGTTTTTTTTAAAATTTGGCGAATCATTATCGAAGTTAAAACTAGCAAAATAAATCTAAAATAATCAAAATACCATTAACGAAATGTAAGGTAACGGATGTAACGAAAACATCGTCCTTATAGTTTTTGTACCTCATAGACGCTAGTTGGCATCAAAAAATAATTTTTGTTGGTTTCTCCTCCACATTTGTAATAATTTTCCAAATTTCGATAAGAGTTTGATTTGTTTATCTCTTTGTTGTTATATTTTTTTTACTTCATTAACTAGAATTTTAAAAATTTAGTTTAAATTTGGTAATTGAGGAATACTCTATATGCTTCGAACAGTGCGCAAAATAAAAAACGGACCACCCTAAATAACTTTTGATCTAATGATTGGAATTTATCAAGAGCTATTAGACTCATTTCACACAAATTTTTCATTTTTCATGTATAAATATATTCTTTTAAATGATTTAAAAAAAATTTATGCCTTACAATTCAAAATTTTATCGACTAATATTATAGAAAATTATTTTTTAAAAAAATTAATGTTATTTTTGCGTGGAATTATCTTCCTATAAATGAATTTTATAATTGAGTACAAAAAATTTTCACTTCGCTTAAAAATTTCGAGAGATATGACGAAATAAGCAAAAAGTAAATATTAGCATTAAAGGGACCATATTTACCAAATTGTGGTTACCCCTTATATCCTGGGAGGTCGTAAGTCCGAATCCGTCAAAAAAAAAGTATGTTTATTCAGAGAAAGTACGTTTTTGTGTCTGATTTCGTAACTTAAAATATCGTCTGTAATTATTAATTAGCGTATTTGAGGATGCCCCTTCAAATCATTACGAATGAGTCCTACAACGTGAAGATCCGATCATTAGAACGTAAGTTATTAAGACTGGTTGGTTTTTTATTTTGCGCACTGTGCATTAGAGTAACGTAACACAAAATTTTTCCAGGATTTTAATTGCAATTTTTCTAGGAAGAATGATCAAGAAATTGGAATTATTCCAAAGCAGCTGAGAAAAAAAGTTTGTAACTTTTGGCAATGTGGCACTGCTCCAATCCAACTGTTGTTTAGATAGATATCAGTGCTATGTTATCATTTATTGAACTCCAGATTTTTATTTATTTATTTATTTTTTTTTTTTTTTTGATTTATGNTTTTTTTTTTTTTTTTTTTTGCTCGGGTTATGGTAAAGTCGTTAGCCCTTTTTCGATCTTATTTTTTGTTGTTGTTGCCTTTTTTACCCCATCTGTCGCATTACATGAGGTGAGAAATAAGCCATCTGAGTTCCATGTTAAGCTCGATGTGCAGTGGGTGTGTTTTATACCCCCTCCCCTTTTCTGGATAAAGAATTGTAGCTTTTATCATTTATTTTATTAGTTGATTTTTTTACTAAATAGTTCACGTTTCATTATTCTTTTTTTTATCGTTCAAACGATCATATGAGTATTTTTTTGAAAAATAAAAAGTAGTTTCAGCTTAATTCTTAACTTTATTTTAATTGTTTCCGTGTTATTTATCCCCCTTCCCCCTGTAACGTATCAAGCTATATTAAGAAACAGTTCTTTGCTTTATTAAAAAAACATTTATTTTACACCAGAACAAATATAGTAACAAATTTAAAGTACCCGTAACGGCATAGTTAAATCTTATAAAACAAACTAGAAAAAATGCCCGTAGCGGGATATATGAAAAACCCAACCCGTAACGGGTTATATGAAAACACAAATTCCAAAACAAACTAATCTCGAAATAAACCAACAACTCTGTTCTAAAAAGGTCTTCTAATTTTATCGTCTGCTTTTATTTTATTGTTTATCTCTTTATGTGTTTAGTTTATTTTATTCATGCTTTTGCTAGCCCGTTATTTTTAAATATTTTTACTTTTATTCATGCTTTTGCTAGCCAATTATTTTTTTGTTGATATTTTTAGACTTTATACCCTTCTAGAATTTTATTTTCTTGATCTACAATTGTTTAGATACTCGTTGTAATCAAAGTGCTTCTCTAAATTGCAAGTTTTTATTTTTAGTAATGGAACAGCATTTTAATTTGTTCCTACTTTAATGTAATTGAGCACATTAACTAAATTAAATTTAGTTTCTTGCGATTTTTTGCAAAAATAGTGTTATTTCTCCAGCAATCAAACTGGTTTTTGTGTTCACCTTTCTCAGTAGGGATTCGTTAGATTTGTTTAGCTTTTTTTTTCTCATCACCTGAATATAATTTGCAGAACCTAATGTAAATACTTTTTTTACTTCAGTTTCGACAAGAACTTTAAAAATATCGATACAAGATCATGAATAAAAGTAACATATTTAATAAAAGAAAAAAAATGATGTAATTAGTTAGCTGTCATATATCGAACTTTATGAAACTTGTCAAACAAATTTTTAAACTAACTTGTTAATCCCTAACATCCATTTCATTTCGAAAACACTTCACCTTAACTTCTCGCCGATGACAACAAGTCTTTTAATTAACTTTCACGACGATTTGACAATTCATTTTTTTTTATTTTTTCAGATGGCATCAACGAAGTACACGCTGAGTGTCAGCTGAAGGTGCGACTGGTGTCAGAGGCTATGTTGTTCAACAGCGTCACCGTCAGACTCGACGACATGTCACAGACAGCCTTCCTTTCCCCCCTCTTCGATTATTTCGTGGAGGGGGTGGCCGCCATCGTGCCATGTCCCAAAGAGAACATATTTATATTCAATGTACAGGTTAGTGCAATTTTATTGTTATAAAAGAACGAAAAATTTCCAGCTTTTTGAGATCTTAAACAAAAATTATTAAATTGGTATTAAAAACATTTTTTTCTTCCTGTTATTCTTTCGATTTTTTTCCTTATTCGAGTTACAGAAAAATATTTGAACATATATTTTATTGATCTTATTATGTGACATTAAAAATAACAATTGTTTTTAAAGTTTTAATTAAGGCCTTATAGAGTTTGCCTCTCCAAGCCTTTATCATGTTTTTTTCTGTGTGGTAAAGTACAAAGATTAAGGAAACTGAAACATTACTTTCCGCATAGTACTTCATTACTATGCATAGCAAGGAATTGTTTTTGACTCCAAATTTATATTCATTGTTCTAAAAATTCGCATAACTTTCATATTATCAGTTTTATCCCTCTTTTAATTCAGCATACCATAGACCAAAGCTAAAGCGCATAAGGTATATTACCTTAATTATTCAGGGTGCGTAGCGTTTTTAAAAAGTGCTTAAAGGTGCTTATTTTCGATTTTCGTTTTTTAAAGGCCCTTAAAGGTGCTCTTTTCATTGGGTGTTTTTAAAAAGTGCTTAATTTCCCTTTTTCAAAATGAGATTTTTCCTTTACCATGTTAATTTTCCCTACTAATCAGTCCTACGAATCCTAAACAACGTTTTCACAATTAATTCAACCCCACTCTATTTCTGCGCAATCTAGTCCGTAGCGCATAAAAGCGCCATTCGATTTACATGATTAAAAATTTTTGACAATTGTCAAAAACAGTGCCGAAATTTTTTTTTAATTCTTTGACATGACGGTTAAAACCAAATAAAACCGTCAATTGTCAAAAAATTTCCAATCCTACCTAATTGTGTTTTTTTTAAGTGCTTAAAAATATTATTGAAATGCTTGAAAAGTGCTTAAAAGGTGCTTATTTTTTGTTGAATAATTTGGCTACGCACCCTGTTATTGAACCATTATGGTTCAGTGGTTGAGGCATTGAGATATCAGGACCCGGGTCTTATCTTTTGTAGTGACTTAAAGCTCACCCAACTTCCAGATTGATGGGAGTAAGATTGTCTGGAAAGAGATGGCCGTTGTGCAACGCTGACCCCGTTGCCTTTATCATGCCATTGGTCACGAAATTGTGAAGCCTTCATCTCCATTTCTCTTTGGTCTACCTGTAGCTAGGTGTTGAAGGAGTAGCTCGTCTTGAGAGCAATATCAGTCGATTAAATAGGTATAAGTCGAAAATTTTAGTTTATATTTATAATACCCTCATAACTCTTAAACTATCACTCTCATAAAATAAAGTTTTTCTTCCAATGCCCACCCGACTGACACTCGTCATTCAGGTATTAATAAGGCAGATTTCTTGGCCACTCTTTCAGGGGTACCATACTGGGTGGGCCGACGTTGCTGCCATAGTAAGAACAGATAGTACAGAGAATAAAATAACATTCTTGCCTTGTCCGGGATTAAAACTCAGAACCTTTCTGATGTAAGATCAGCTTCCGTACCAAATACACAGTCCGGTCGGCCTTTGAATAAAGTTTTTAAACACACACACACAAATAACAGAGATGCCAACATGCTCCGGACAGCGAATAAATATTTGCAGGTGGTAGTTTATTAATTGTGATTCTTGGTTTAATAAATTCAATTTATTAGATTTTAATCTACCGCTATTTCTAAATAATTCATAGGTTTATATGATTCACCACTACATTATAGTTATGTCATGCTAAACCTCTTAAAAAGCAAGCAAAATTAGTCAAATATTTTCAAATTTTAGTTTGTAGTTATTTACCGTTTTTTAAATTATTTTGGCTCGTCCGGAGCAGTTGGCATCTCTGAAATAATGGCACAAAATAGTTTTGGTTCTATAAACATGTAGCTTCATCAATGCCAAATCATAGAGTGACTAAAGAAAACCTGAGACAGACAAGTTACAACCAGGAAAAATGCGGTTGAACCAGTGAAAGAAGAGGAATAAGCTCATGCTGAATAACTTGTTTCAACTTGGCTGCCTCGTATTTTCTTCTAATACTCGTTGTTTCGACGCTGGCGGAAGTTCTTGTTAAATGGAATAGCAAACCACAGTATATCTGTTTTTGTTTTATCATTTGTGCTTTTTTTTTCATTTATAGCTCGAAGTATACTCTCTCTTTATTTATATTGTAGTCTTATTAGCTTGATTTTAGTTTCAATTGATAACGCGCAAAAATATTGCATAGACAAGAATACTTCCCTTGTCTGGATAGATGCATTTTAGTTTTTCTCTCTTTTGACCCCTTTCCTTTTCGTAAATTCAAGAAGATGGCTGACACTCACTTCAGGTCCGAGGCCAAAATCAAATAAGGGGCCCTCCACAAATGATGTCAAGCTTGGAGGGAAAGAAAAGGGTTTCTGAAATTGTGACAATTTAAGACAAGGGGAGTGGGAAAGGTAGGGAGTTGAAAACCATCAAATTGGATAATTTTAGACTATTTGTTTTCCTTTTTTTTTCATCTTTTTCAACGAAATAAATACCCATGTAATCAATAGTATTGTTGTTTACATAAATTCCATCTTCAAAAGTTTAAAAGGAATAAATTTTTAAATATGATTTATACTATAGTATGACGTTTGTGCATGTGTTACCGTGAATAACCGAAATCAAGAGAATGTCGACTTTCCTCGGTGAATGTCGCATAGCCGTTTGGTGAATGTCCGAAATATTTGTTATATCCTATTTGAAATTAATGTATTCGTTGATATTATTATATTTATTTGATATTTTATGATCTGCTGAGGATAGATTAATAAAAAAATCAGTGTTCGGAATACCGGCTAAATGCATGCCAAACAGTGGCACTTGACCTTAAAAAAAACATCGATACCGGGCAAATATGTATACTGGGAAGTGCAACTTAAACTAGACCTAGTATATAGTATTTAGGACATTCACCAAAGCGACTATGTGATTGTCAACATTCACCGGTTGAAGTCAACAACCACCAATTTCGGTCGTTCACAGTAACATATATATTACGTAATATGCTGGTATGTACAGTGAAACCCCGCTATAGTGAACACTGTTTATAGTGAACTCCCGGATATAGTGAACGAAATGTTAGGTTCCGTGCTTCTATACACGTATAATGTTATTTTTTGTGGATATAGTGAACCAAAAAAGTGAGGAAGTTGGATATAATGAACTTTTTTCTGTCTTCAACTGATTTTTTTTCCTCATTTTTTTTTTTGTAATTTCGAAATTTTTACTTTAAAATAAATACGTATACCGATTTTTAAAACCATCTATAGAGGGGAATTGAGCGATAATCTTCTTTTATCTCACTTTCTCATCCCTAAACAAACCAAGCAGATATTTCCAACCCTGGCAGATAATGCACCTGTAAGGTGTCAGTGGGATCAATATGCATTTTCTGTCAGGATTGCTCATCAACTAAAGATTACTATTTTTTTTTTTTTAATATTTTTTTTAGTAAGCAAGACGAAGAGTAATGAAAAATAACACATTTTTCGCTACTAAATAATATTTTTCAGTCATTTATTTAAATAATGTGTAATGAAAGGGAGGAGTTTGGAAACCATTAGTTAAATTGCTTGCGTAACGGATATAGTGAACTCCCGGTTATAGTGAACCAAAATTTCGGTCCCTTGAAGGTTCACTATAGTGGGGTTTGACTGTATTTATGCAATAATGCTAGTATATATTTTTGTAATATAGTGTGACATGCGACAAGAGGGTAAGGGTAATGGTGAAATATGACTAAAGGAAGAAAAAAAATAAAAAATATTGAAAACAATATGACATCCTAATTATGGACAACCCTTATTCGCTTTGGAGCGAAATCTAACTTTTAAAACACTTACCAGCTTTCCCTTAATTATTCCCGTTCGGAGATTTAATTTTTTATGCTTAATTCTTCAGGTACTGGCCTATTCTTGTAATATAAAATTCTTTTTTCTTCTCACAATCGAGTTACAGAAAACGTTCACTGTCACTCCAGTTCTTTCTCTTCTTGCCTTTTTTTCGATTATTTCGTGCAAAGGTGTCTCCTCTGTTACTTTCTCTCGGGGAAACATATTCATATTCGGCTCGCTATTCTCAGTGCTCAGCTTTGAACTTTTCGATTTCTGAACTTTTAAAAAAAATAAGGCATCTGAAAATAAACTTCAGCTGAATACAATAATGCAAATCCATTTCTCGAAAAAGAAATTTAAATTTTTTCTCCCCGTCAATCGATTTCCGTCGCTGATGTTTATTTTTATTTGTCTGCAGTGATGAAAATCATAATCGAAAGAAATAAATCGATTTCTTAAGCTTCTAACTTCGATAAAATTCTCAAATACTATTGTGTTGTTTTCAATTGTTATTTTTACAGCTCTTTATATGCTTATGATGAATATATTTTCGCTTCACATATGAATTTTTCTCCTGGCGTAGAATATTTTAGAATTTGCGTTAGCTAAATTTTATAATTTTTCGTTTCAATCAACAGGATATTCCGCAAGTACAGTATTTAATATTAATATTTTTAGTATATCACTTTTAAAGTATTTTTAGGGTCAATAAAATGATTACAGTGTGCACATTAAAATTTTAGTCTTAAATTAATGTTTACCAAATTCAAAATTCTTGATGATTTATGTTGGTTTCAATGAGATTCATGATGGTCACTATCATTATGCGTTCATGGTGTTTGATATGTCAACAGACTTCCATCATTCCATGTTGAAAATACTGCTTTATTACTATGATGGTTTACCATCAAGAGAAGTTTGATTCTCATGAACCAACATTCCATGATGATCCGTGATGGTTCATGATGGTTCCAACTGTATATTTCCATGATGGTTTAATGGAAACTCTTGTTAGTTCTCAGGAATATACCATAAAAAATCTTTTTTAATGTTGGACCACCATAAATCAGCCCTAATTCCTACATTGGGATGATGGTTGTTCATGGTCGTTTCAACATTCAATTTCTAGTATACTAT